CAAGCAGCAATTGGTGTTTGCCCACAATGATGTGCGTGTGTTCATTCCAACGCCAGATCTCATATACTAATTTTTTCATACCAGACCCAATACGGCAACCTTCTTCGCTTGGAGCCTGCCAGTGAGTCGCCGCTGCTCTTACCGGCCAACGAACATAAGCAACTCGTCGTCATCGACTTCGAATACTCATCCGCTAATACGCCCACTCTCGAATTTGCGAACCACTTCACGGAGTGGTGCTACAACTACCACGACGAAGAACGGTCGTGGGCCTGCAGCAACCGCATGTATCCCACGCCGGAGGAGCAATACCGATTTGTATCGGCCTATCTTACCCATCGTCCCGGTATTCCCGGCTCTCCATTCGGGTCTCCATCTATTCGCGCCCGTACCGCTACGCACATCACACCACTTTCACTCGACGATGGACCTGATGGAGTCAGCTCGCAGCAACTGAAGGCAGAATATTTCAACCAGGACGAATTGGATGCACAGGTGCGGCATATCCTGCACTACACCCGTCTGTGGCGCGTGATGAACTCCGCGCAGTGGGTGGCCTGGGGTATTGTCCAGGCCAAAGCGCCGGGGATGGAGGAAGGCATCGCCGAAATGGCGGCCGCTGAATCAGACCCGCACGACGCACACACCGGCCACGGGGATGACAATGACCACGACAATGGCACCAAGACACCCGCGGTGGATGGAGATGTCGACGAGGAAGAAGAATTCGATTATCTTGCCTACGCGCAGGACCGCGCCATGTTCTTCTGGTCTGATATGCTGGCGCTGGGCCTTGTGAATGAGGAGGAGCTTCCTGCGCCGATGGTTGAGCATATTAAGTCGCGACTTCTGGAGTACTGAGATTCATAGTGATGAGTTTACGATATGAATGGCTGCATATAGCAACTTACATAGTTCTACCTTAATGATAGTTTATTCAATACCTCATCGTGGGATATACAACAACTTTCACGGAATACAAGAATATAATGTTAGAATTGACGTAAGTCTATCACAAGGGGGTGGGTATCCATGGATGTCGTCAGAAGTGAGGCAAGCCCTGCAATGCATCAAGCATGAAGAGGTCATGAAAAAACGACACGACAGAAAGGAAAACGAGCCAACCAACAGGCTACCGACGCATCTCCAACTTCTTGCGCGTCTCCTTCTTCGCCGCCTCCACCCACTCCTCATACGCCTTCCCATCCGGCGCAGCTTTCTCCTTCTCCGTAACAACGCCCTTCATCATCTCCCCAATAAACCCAACAAAGTTCCATCTGCGCAGGGTATTCTCCCAGGCCCACGCAGCGCGCTTCCTCTCCTCCCGTGCAAGGGTATCCGCGTCACCAATCTCGCGCGCCGCAATCCTCGGATCGCGCACAACAGCCATGAGATTGAAATGCGTTTCCTCAGGCGGGTACCGCGCAATGCGGCGCTGGAGAACCTCGCTCACCGTCTCCGGGAACGAGGCCAGATCACAAGGCCCATGGCTAATGGGATACGGCTGCAGACCATCCAGCTCGTAGAGCGTCCCGTTTACAGGCGTATACGCAATGAAATGGTACACGTCCGCGGCATTCTCCTCGTCCTGCGGCCGGGCCGTCTCGTCGGCGAAAGGGCTCGCGCGCGCGAAGGTGTTATGCGCGCTGCGGATCGCTTCCGAGTTGGAGAGCGCCTCGCCGCGGAGTTCGGGTGGGAATCCCGTTGTGAAGTCTTTGAAGGAGCGTAGCTCTGTGCCGAGCGAGATCGCGGGTAGGGGTGCCGGTGGGTGGTCCTGGTTGAGGATGATGGAGAGGATGGCCTGTGTGCCGCAGGCGTTTTGGATGGTTTGCGCTGCGAAGAAGAGGTTGCTGTTGTCTGTTGCGCTTGTGTCGTAGCTGCCGTCTAGGGGTGCTTCCTGGCGGGCGCCGGCCGCTTCGCGGGTCCATTTGAAGAGAAAGATTACGCCGTAGACGGGGCTGGAGTGGGCATTAGTTATCTGCCTGTCTGTTTAGATGATGATGGATGGAACTGTAAGTACATACCCTAGAGAACGGATTGTGTCGGCATCGAGCGAGATCAGCTCTTCGAACTGCACGTCTTGTACGCCAAGCGTCTCGATCAGAGAGGTGAAAACGCCCTGTGTGGGGTTAGCTGGGGGTTGCTAGGTGGATTGTCGGGGTTATGGGTCAAAATGGCATACCTCGTCTGACTCTATGGTGCTCCAGCCACCAGTATCAGCCATTTTCGTGAGTGTGCAGGGCAATGGAGCTCGATGGGATTGTCGAGTGTTCATCAGGCTAGAGCTTGCAGCCAGTTATGTCATTGTAGCTAAGGCGGTGTCATTCTGCCCGTTTGTTTCCACTATTCCTGATTCAGAGATGTATGGAATCAAGTGAATGTGTATAATGAAGAGCATGTTAGATCGTTGGTTACTGCGAAGGATTGGTAAAGCAGTTGAAGATGTTTCACTATGTATGAGCTAGACCATGGGCTTGCTAAATGTTGATCGTCGACAACCCTAACTAAGCTCGGATATACCCCCCGCTAGTCCAACGTCAACACGCTCCAAGGCGGGGTTTCTCAGGTCGATCAAGTTGACCCGATGCAAAACATCATTGATCGATCCCACTTGCAACTCAGCTACCGAAAATGGCCATGACCCTACCTCCAGGTTCAAAGCTCTGGGTATGGACGCCAAGATCTACTCTGCAAGCCCATTATTCTGACCTATGATAGCTTCTCAACCTTGGATACCTCGACGTCGATGCATCCGCCCTCATAACAGGCGCCAATGTATGGGCACCTCACCTCCCGCCCCAAAAGCACGACCGCCGCGAGCTAGTCATGATCGCAGGTCTTATCTATCACCCCGAAGTCGGCTTAATCCTCTTTGACTCCGGCAGCTGCGAAGACGTCATCGCCAATTGGAAGCCCCAGCTGAACGAGTGCACGCCTCGAGTTTGGGACAAGAGCACCCACGGCCTGGCCGAGGCTATCGCTGCTACGGGTGCGGGGACGATTGGCGACGTCAAGGCTGTCGTGCTTAGCCATCTCCACAATGACCACGCCGGCGGTTTGGAGCATTTTATTGACTCAGATGTTGAGATCTGGTGCCACGAGGAAGAATTGAAATATGCTTTTTGGGCTTGTGCGACTGGTATTGATCGAAACCTATACGTGCCTCACTATCTACAGCCCGATCGGTTCAACTGGAAGACGTTCAATAGAGAGACTTTTGAGATTTGGTCGGGGATCACGCTCCACCATACCCCCGGTCACACCCCTGGGTCTATTACTATGGAGCTCATGCTTCAAGAGTCAGGGTCTGTTGTTATGACGGGGGATCTCTTTCATGTTAAAGAGAACTGGGAAGATGGACGGCCTCAGGGGTCTCTTATGCGTGATTATGCTGCGTGGCATCGCAGTTGGGACTATGTGAAACATCTTGTCAATATCAAGAAAGGGAGAATTCTGCTTGGACATGAGCAGAGCTATTTCAAGGGGTTTCCTCTCAGTCCTAAGTATTTAGCTTAAGAATAAGATAATTTGGGACTTGGTTACAAGGGGAAATAGAATAGTCAGAATGTGATCTCTGATAATTAATTATCAGCGAATCTCCATGCCAGATCTATGACGCTGGACAATCAATCATCCTGGAAGTAATATTTTCTTAAACCTCCCAGGTTACTCTATTTGCAGAAGTACATCTTTCTGGTGGGTGCCGAAGATATCAAACTCCAGGAGTGCTCATACAGTCCCCAACAGAAACATCAGACGCAAAAGCATTATCTAACCCATATAACTCATAAATCCCACAGCTGAAAGCAAAAACACAAAACTACTAATAATATACCTCAAATCAAGCACCCTCAACTGTCATACGAAAACCCTAATAATCGCAGAAGACAAGGCCTCCATACTGTACAAAGCTTGCTTTCTGCACTGCCCGATACATAAATATAGAAACCCCGGCGCAGCAGCATGTCGATCTTCCCCGGCGGGGTTCGACGCATGTAAACTACATGCTCAGGACAAGGTGCTAATCAAGACGGAAGACAGAAGTGGAAGCACGGGTTGCATCGCCACCTTCATCCATATCTTGGCAATATTAAAAAGAATCAATACAACCACAGTACTTTATTTTGGCTTTTCCTGTCTGCTGTACCTAGCCATATGTAGCTGCACGCACGTCCATGACGATTCATCGACCCCGCATGTATGTAAGCTGTTCATCCTTATTATTCTCTAATTACTTTCATGTTCTGGGTTCTCGGTCCGTGGGACCGAGAGGTTGTGCCGAAGATGTGCCGAATACGAGATCAGATCGTCACTAAATCAGGTAGCGTTTTAGCTTCGGGGCTAATAGTCAAAGCTGGATAAGGAAAGTGAGGACTGGCGTTGCTGTGGCTGTGGTTGTGTCTACTGATCGCATGCACGGACATATTTTCGGTCTGGATTCCTAAGCATCGAACGGAAAACAGACCTATCTTGTCCTTAGACCTACATTCCAAGCGAGAGAGTGCTATCTGTAGAACTAGTGGTTATTATTGGGAGTAGACATCTAGACGCCATACTGTACAGTAGTATAGTAGTAATGTATGCACTCGAATTCAATCTGATCCGTTCATTGCGCGACGATGAATCCTCTGACAATTTTCCCAGGGAGTACTAGGTAGGTTTCTGTAAAAGCCTCCAAAGAGACTGCAACAGACAAAAAAGGAAGGCCTGGGTATATCATTGGCTCTCGATCTCGAGCCGTTTCTTGGGTTTGTGGCGTAAAAAACAGCACAAAAACAAAACTTCGCACACCAACGCTCATGCTCAATCCAAAAGCAAACAAGAAAGAAAAAGAAAAGAAATCCAACTCATGAATAAACAAAGTCAATGTACAGAACATCGTTGTAGAGAAGAAGTAAAAGGGACAGGGAGCTGTCGTATTAGGTACTTGTAAGATGGGAGAGAAGAATAAGTCAAGCCCCGACATATTTCATAACTGTGAGAGAGCAAAACGAAGCAACTCATGTCCAGCATGAATCTGGGGCAACCAGAGCGGGGACTTCAAAGGAATGGGTCTGCGGATGCGGGTATACCATATTCAACCCCAGAGTGCCGTCTGCGCGCGGCATGTCAGCGCAGATATCGTCCACGTAGGGAGGGGTAAACGCTGACGATGGCGAGATGGAGCCGGCATGGTGGCCCAGCCCCGGCAGACCTAGCTGGACGTCGCTAGTATCGATCTGGAGGTGCGGGGAGGGCGGATAAAGAGAATGATGCGAGGGAGCTGCGGTGATGTAGCCACCACCATCTGATAAATGGAACGGCGAGCCAGCGACTGTAACGGCGGGCGGAGACTGGAGCGGGGGCGTGTAGGCGGCGTGTGATGGGGATGCGGAAACGGGTGAGGAAGATGAGGGGAGAGGATATTCGTGCAGAGCGTGCAGGTAGGGGCTTGACGGGCTAGGGGGAGTAGTGATCCACGATGGAACCCCGTGGTGACCACGGCAAGCGGCTGCGATACCGCGCGACGGCGCGACGGGGCAGATCCATTTGAGACAGTGCCAGACGGAGGTCGGCGCTGAAGGGGTCTGTGGCGCTGTGCGCGACGATGATGCGGTACATCTCCTCGATGGGTCCGACGGAGAGGGAGCCCAGATAGGCACCGCCCATCTCGGGGAAGAAGCGGTCGAGCGTGATTCCGACGGCGAAGAACTGGGAGATGATTGCTAGCGCGGTGACTTCGGAGTCGCCGCCGCGGAGCATAGATGGTGGAAGCCAGAACAGCCACTGGCGCAGGATTATGCTTCGCTCGAATGATTGTTCGGGGGTCTGTGTGGGGAGATCTTCGCGGAATTTTTGTACGAAGTCAAGCAGCTCGCCCAGTCGCTGTGAGTGTTCAGGATTGTGCGAGACGCGCTTTTTAGTGAGCTTTAGCTGTTGGATCGTCTGATCTAGCTGTACCATCTCTTCGTCTAGCGAGTAGTACTCGCTGGCTCTTGGTGAGAGGTCTGTGATGTTCAGTGCTCGTTGGTCCTCCACGAGCCGCGCCAGCTCCGACTGTTGCCTCCAAAATGGGTGCATGGATTCGAGCACGGTCGAGATTCCTTGTTGGAGAGATGCCCAGCTTTGACTTGAAAGGTATTAGTTAGGGCTCTCCGACTACACCGGAAACAAACACTCACTGATCACCCGCTAGCCATAACAAGAGGATGGAAGCCGCGAGGATGGCGTCGCAGTTTTCCTTGGAGAAAGATCCGATGGCAGTCTGAAGACCCTGGAGAGCGATACCCCGGTGGTGATAGGCCAGCCGCCTGGTTTCTTGATCCCGGGTGATGAATGCAAGGTGGAACGCCGACAGTGCTAGGATCGAGCTCATCACAAAATCATACGACAGCGAGATGGCCAGGAGACTGATCGACCATTAATAATGAAGACAAGATGTCACACAAAGCAGCCACTTACTTTGGCATCTTCTGTGCCCACACCGTGCAGCCAGCTAGGCCCCGTCGGTGGAGGTCGATCGAGAGACCGATGATATGATGGATCAAGCGCAGGTCCGCCTTGGACAGGCCTGACCAGCCGGAGCGAGGACACTGGATCAGTTCAGGATATGGGGGGACGCCGGTGCGATGCCAGTTGTCGATTTCCATTTCGATCTCGGGCGACATGAGCAGGTCGGGGCTGCGTGTTGTAGGGGCTGGTGGGCTACCTTCCGCGGCGACGGCATCTTGGTAGTCACAGCGGCAGTTGTGCTTGGTACAATTGCGGCTAAGAGAGGGTTAGTTGGTTACGCAGCTGACAATCAGAGAAGGCAATAGTACCATTGAGGGGAGGTCTCATCGCATCGAATATGCCTCCTTTTGCAAGTCTTGCAGCCGGTGCGGGACTTGGTATGGCTCTTGCGTGGAGGGCCACCACCTGGACCAGGCATCTTGGCTAGCTTGGCTATCTTGGCTTTTGGAGGGATGAGCAATAGTGAATTTTGCAAGTCTGTCAGAGTATGTCGAGGCGAGCAAGCAGTGAAGGAAGGAGAGTAAAGTTCAGGCACTGCGTGAGGGGAGAGCTGGCGCAGTCGATGTTGTTTATAAGATTTGACAGCCGCAGCGCGTATAATAATATTCCCCTGGACGCTATCAGAGCACGTGGAAATACGAATCAGCCCTGCAAGCGACTGTCGGAGCCAAGAAATAAAGTGGAAGAAGAGCCAGAAGAGAGGAAGAGAGAAAGAGGCGCAGACTCAGAGTTTAACGACGATCGCCCGTGAGAGATGATGGATCTGACGGGGGACTACACACTATTAGTCTTAGCTGGGCCGCGCTGCTGGGAAAAGCCCCAGTGACGATCGAGAGTTTTGAGCCTCTCTTGTGTTCCCACTTCGCAGGGGATAGGGCGGATAGGAGTCACAATCATAGTTATGCCCTCGATGACCCTTTCAGCTGGAAGGCCACTCTAGGCCGGAGGACGGGAGACTATACCGGTAGGGCGTGGGCCCAGTCTCTCTCCGGAGGGGGCATAGTCTAATTTGACGGGACCCATCTACCTGCCTCCAAAGGTTTAGGTGGGGACTGGGATTAGGGTTGTTTTGAGTTGCTCGGCCTTGCAGAGAGAGGCCGTGTTGTTTGGGAAGGCCCAAGCAGATCCATTCCCGGAGAGATGGCGAGAGCGCTTTGCCTCGTTAGGGGCTGAGTCTGCCTTGGGTCAAAGTGGACACTAGGTCTTGCTGGATTTGGTATGGTTGCCCAGACCCTCCTCTGCCCAGATGGGATGGGGCTTATTACACTCGCTTCTTTCTGCAGAAGACGAGCCCCTATTCGCCTGGCGCACCAGGGTGAGGCGTAGGTGATACAGGAATAAGCGAAAGGGGGGCGGAATGCGGAAAAAGAAAGTATATTCTATGGTGATGATGATTGAGCCGACAAGGCGGATACATCAGCCAGCGATCTCGGGACCCTGGATTGTGGATCGAGACGTCAAAAAGAGACAGCACTATATACCGTGTTGGGTCTAGGGCGGATTGTGGTCTGTCCTGGATAGCACCAGTAGCGGAACATAGCGTCACCGTTTCTACCCGTGGGGAGCTCGGTAAATCCAGCCGAATCAAGGGTGAGGCGTCCACTCCGGCGGAAATCCTTTTCCCTGCCGCTGAAGTTAGTTAAACCATTGGGCTGGTACTGGTGGAACGGGGGACTCGTGGGGGAGGGTGATACAGCCTGTACATGTCTACCTGCCAGCCGTCCTGCAGGGCCCAGGGGGCTAGGGGAATAGTCACCCCGGATTGGGGTCCAGGGCTTGCCGGAGTCACCGCTGGATGGCGGCCGGTGCGCTCCTGTGTCGAGGGTCCAGCACTACGCCCGAGTCGGTGAAGGCCATCATCAGGGCATCCCTGTCACCCACACGTGGCGTGGTCGCAGCCTGGGAGAATGATTAACGTTGAGGGTTCATCCCGTTTCCTCGCTTCTCGCGACATGGCGCCTCGAAGGGTTTAGCGCGGGGGCTAAAACCCATGATCGACTTGCGCTCGATCGGCCGTTTCAGAGGTGTGAGACAATCACTGACGCTTGAGTAGTCCCACAAGCTCACTAGTACCTACTAGGGACTAACTCTGATTGCCGAGCAAAACAAAGAGCTCGGCTCATCCTGCGATCCTTGGGTTCTGGCCGCACTACACAACTCTAACCCGCCAAGAGAAGGCCATCCTAGACGCGTGGGTCTTCTTGGGCCATCGACGGACTCTGGCCGCTGACCCGCAGCAAATTAACATCTTCCGATCTGCTGGGTCCAGTTTCAGTGATCGCTGGGTAAGGTCCGGGAAGGTCGTGGAGATCGGCCCAACGTTCGTTCGAGGTCTGGTTTGGTCTGGTTTAGTCCCCGAAATATGACACGAGCACGGATCAGAGAAGGCTGCAATTGCCCACATGCATGCAGGGGCTCGAGTACAGGGCGCAATTTGCAAAAGGCATAATCCCTGCATTCTGCAGCTGACCCGTCTGTACCTCGACTATGTACTATAGCCTTTGGTGTAGGTTTAGCCGCACGCCACGGTTTTTATATTTAGGAAACGGGAGCCGGTGGGCGGAGGTGATGGCTGGATGGCTGCGCGGAGGGCTGGATCTTGGATGGCATTGAAGCACTGCCATGGTGAACTCTCCCATCACAAAGGAGTTGCATAGCAGAGACTAACTTTAACTGTATCTAAAGTAAACGGTGTTGGCCAAAATATGCTTTCTTTAACTAATCGTAGTACCATTCTTGATCTAATACCGGACTATATCGAACCATCACTGTATTCCAGGCATGAAATCATCATGATCCCCCGTAGGAAACAGTAACTGCCCGGAGGCATGCAAAAAGAACTATTAGTTATACACCCAAGCCCTAAAGTCATGATGAGAGCACCATGATGCAGAGCCACCGCCTCTTACCTCGCCATCAACCAGCGCAACCCGCCCCTCTGGAGGGCCCACCAGCATGCCCGGCGACACCATAGCGATGTCATCAGGGACAAGTCCGACCAATGTACGGCACAGAACTGTATATCACTAGAAGGTCTTTGCTCTTCTTCCTTGTTTCGAGCAGCACGGCGCGACAAACTCGCAACGATGGGCTTCCATAAATCATCCACGGACATCCAGCTCAAGAACAACCATGTTCTCAGCGCCTACTGTCGTTGACCGACCGGGGAAGCGACCTACTCGGAACTGGATTTGAATAGGTTCCTAAGAAGGGTAAGTAAAGGCTATTTTATTATCCCTGCTAATGCCTAATACACTGCCTCATACACTGCCTCCCTCACTCATTCACTACTCCTATTATACTACTAGTACTCCTACTTCTACCACACACGCGTCATCAGCTAACAAGGGATGGGTGACCGCATTGTAGGGAAATTCACAAGGAGCGCTGAGAACTTCGCAGACCACGCAGCGGGCGTGGATCTCCAGCTCGAAGGCCCAACCCACGACCCAATCCTGCATGCGCGGCTAAGCGATGGGACCGGGGGCTGCCGAGAAGATAAGGTGAATCTGGCGGAGTGTATCAAGAATGAGGACGGGCACCTGCGATACATGGATTGCTTTTAGAAATGAAATGGATCTAGACTTTTTTTCTTTCGATTGAGTTCCGGGGTGGAACTTCGCGTAAACGTTAAGGTACTACATTGCTGTGAGTAGTGTAGAGACAGTAATTTCCCTGCCAACTCGGAACTGCAGAGATTGTCTGGTTTCGCTCGTGGGATAGCACCTTTACGGGTATAGCACACCGCAGGATTGTAAATTTAGACCTGTATACCACTTGAGCGTCCAATTTCAATCCTGCGGTGGAAAGCAACTATCCACTTTTCTTTGATTATGATCTCGTGGCATGCCACCTCTAAAGGTATAGTCCAGTATAAGAGCCAAGCATGCTACTATCCTGTCCGTCATCGCACACGGACGTACTCAGCAACTAACGAATCAGCCTTGTCCAGGATAGCCCCTTCCCAAAACGGACTAGGGGTATGTACATCAATCAGGGGGTAGTCACGCGTGGAGAGGGAAGAATAATAACTAATCATTGGGGCGGTTGTGGACACAGCGCAACGCAGAAACCGTGAAAAGACCCTCTAAAGGAAAGGCGCGCGTCTTGGTGTTGAATCCATCCCTCAGGTCCGTGCGGGTGGGACCCATCCTTCCCTTCCATCCGTTACTGTCACCGGGCAGTGTTAATAGTTTATTCCGAGCAGTCAATGCTGAAAGGGGCGTCAAATAAGCGAGTGCCCCGCCAGTGTGGATGCCATCATCGTCTCCGAGGAGGTTTGAACCTAAGGCTGCGCCTGTTGATCAAAATTGGCCGTCGGACGAACCGGGAGACGGTGTTGCTCCGTGCCGCGAGATGGCTTGCTTTGACAGCGCACTGCCAAGAACTTGCACAGTCATGATTCTTTAGCGATATCGGACTCGGGCAAGTGGGATGCTACATACTTCGCTGCTTCAGAATACATGGTCTCTCTCCCTAACCACAGGGGAGCAGACTAATTTGAGGATCTATCTAATCTATCTATCTAGGAATATGTCGGAAAAGAAGTAAATAGCCAGCGCTGAACACACGAGGAAAAAGCAAATGCCGAAGGAGATCCGGCCCCGGTGATATCGACAGGAATGCAAAAACAAAATAAAGAAAGAAAAAAAGTCATGCCAGACAGCCATGCCCATTGCAGTCATCACATAAAAGGCAGAGTAGATGTCACTGTCCCAAATTTGCAGTCGCCCACCAAGTATTTTCCATTTCCTCGCTCTTTGGAGAAGAGCTCACAGATCCCGGTCCCTCCCTAACTTTCCCACCTCTTTCATGTAGAATAGTAGACAATGCAAAAAAAGAAATACGTGACAGGCGTTGGGCAAAATTGGAGCCCACCGAGAACAATGGCATTGAACAATCAAGAAAGAATAAAGACCAGACTCGCCGTAACCACGAGCAAGCCCGCCGAGCAACCGCCATGATGCAGAAGTCTTCATCCGAACGTATTGCTTAAAGCTGGTAGAGCAAACGAAGCTTCTGAGCCACATGAGCAGGAAGCTGCGAGAGGAAGGAATCGAAATTGGGTATCATGTTTTTATATCCTAGCAGGACCTGCAACAAGAAAAAGTCAGTCGATGATAAGCTTTGAGGCCCAAAAAAATTCGTACCTGTTGGAATGAGTTCTGGACGTCCCGGTATTCCTCTTCCGTGACTACCTTGTGCGGGAATGCGGAGACGGTTTGGAAGTAGTCTGCAAGACTCGCTTCCATGGCATGGGGGTTCTTCATGATCACTTGGTTGAAGCCCAGGAAGGCAGAGGCTTTCTCGCGCGTGAACTCGATCTTGCGCATAGATGTCAGGAAGCAGCTCGCGTACTCACCAAGCCGGGGTGCCAGCTGGTCAGAGCAGCAGAGTCCCAACCGGCCGAGAGCCATGGCGGCGTTCTCGTTGACTGACTCGATCACTTCTTCGTTGTTGATGATATTCACGAGTCCATGATAGAGTTTGTCAGCGTATGGTGAAAGCTGCGCCTTCTCGTTCACGGCAATCTCTCCGCAAGACCAGCAAGCGTTGTTGAGAACACTGAATCCGGTGTGGCGGTCATCATCTCGAATCAAATCCAGGTCAAGTTGCTTGACCAGAGTTGGCATGATATTCGGGAGGAAAGGCTCCAGCTGCGGGAAGATGCTAATGGCGCAGTCACCCAGCAGGGCATAAGATGACTGCCGGACCTCGTAGTTGGGGTCCTCCATGCAGTAGCAAAGCAGATCAAAGAACGGTGGCTGGGAGTTGACCACAAGCTCGCCGCTCTTTTGCGGGTCAATGGCTTGGATGATGGCACTGAGAAGGTCCAGGCTGGTTACAAGGAAGTCCTTATCGGGCTCCTCGAACGCTTCGTTGTTCACCGAGGCCATGTACGCCTGCAGGTTCTCATAGACGATTTTGCTGCACCGTGCGAAGAGAGGAGGCGCGAATGGCGCGAATGCATCCCCGTAGGCCGCGGCGAGGTAGCCCAAACACTCGAGCAAGGGGAAAAGCTCTCGCGAATCATCTGATACCCGGTTGTAGCGGTCAATCAAAGCAGGCATGAGGATATCCACCAGTTGCGGCTTGGCAAGCTCGGCCCCGACACATTCGGCCAGGGTTTGGACACAGTCATAAAGAATGTACATGTTGCGGTCCTTGTACTTGCCGAAGCACTGGACAAACTGGCGAAGGATAGGCTCGCAGTAGGGAACCAGGTTGTCGTCCGACTTTTCTTCCAGACTCGCAAATGCAGATGAGGCTGCCTCTTGCACCTTCTTGTTGTTATCCAGCATCCGATGCAGGATCCCCTCCATCATCGGCTCAAAAAACTGGGCCTTCTGCGTCGGATCACTAAGGTGCGATGCCCATTCTGAGTAGCGTCCAAGGCACCAGCAGGTAATCTGGCGCACCACTGGCTGAGCATCGTTCAACAACGAAATCAGATACGGGACCAGCTCGGGGAGGTGCGGCGTGACAGCGTCCATGCAACCATCCGCCACAGCACCCAAGGTGAGAACGGCAGCCTCACGGTTGGGCCAGTTCTCATGTCGCAGAGTCTCTTTGAGGTATGGCAGGATGACATCAAAGATCGGCGAGTGGTAGACATTCGAGAACACGTCCAGGGCGGCAGCAGAGCACTTGCGCAGAGTCCACTCATCTTCAGGATCGTCGCCGAACTCCGAATCTTCGATCTCGCCTTCGCTGAGGTCGTCATCGTCGTTCTCCGCTTGTTGTTTGCCACCGTTCGGCTGATCTCCTGTCTTGGACGTGTCAATCTTGTCGGCCTTGGACTTGGCAAACTGTGGCTTGAGATCCTCCGCACGATCTTCGGCCTCGGCATCATCCTCATCGTCCATTAACCGGATGACATCGTCTTCATCATACACCATGTTTTGAAGCAAGACGGGCACGATCTTCTGCATGTGGGGGGCCAGCGCAGTCCTCAACGAATGTTGTTCTCCCGCAACGATCCAGAACTCGGCCGCGTCGAGCGCAAGCTCCGGATCCTCCGTGTTCTGCTGCTGCAGGAGGATATAATTGACAAGGCCCTCCATGTGTGGGATGAGCTTCTCCGGGGCAAACTCGACGAGCTGAGAGAATGACTGGCAAACCATGCGGCGGACCTCGGAATCCTTGTCACCAGAGAGTTGGAACAGTTGTGATAAGAAGAGGTCGAGCGAAGCCATCAGGGCAGGAGGTTGGTGCGGGAGGAAGATATGGATGCTGGTCAAGGCAGACACGCGGATTCTAGAGCTTTCACTGCCGGTAAATTCCAGCAGTTTCGGGATGATGACGTCCAGCGGGCGTTGGCCCGAATAGTCTCTGTCCAAGATCTTGCGATTGTCCTCGCAGACCTTGGCCAGAGCCAACATGGCTCCCTCCTGAGCTGAGAGAGTCACATCGCCAGAGGCATTGCTGACCAGGTTCAACAGCTCATGGAGGAGGTCAGGCCAGGCCAGAAGGCCGCCCTGACGCACCAGCTCGGTGATGATGCTGCCGGCACCTTTTTGGACCGAGCGGTCAGCGTCCTGCAGAGACAGGATCGAGGCCGACCGGATGTAGGCGAGGCTCGGCTGGGGGATTGTTGAGTGGGCCACGTGGATTTTGATCTTGAGGTTCATGGCGGCGGCAAATCGGACCATGCTATAGGTGTTGTTGTCCATGGCCACCGCGGGAGGGGCATGCGGGGTGGAAAAGAGGTAGGTGATGTAGTTGACATAGTCGGGGGACGCCGTTGCCTGAACGAGCATCTATGTAGGGTTAGTCCGATTGATTCAATATGATTGGGGTTGCTCGCCCTGCAGAATAAGAGGAGGGGGGTGAAAACGGCACCTCTTCAGCCTGTTTCTGGGCTGCCCGGTCTTGCCCATTGAGCGAATCCCGGAGACAGCAGGCCAGCTGCCTCAATGGCTCTTCCTGAGGCTGCCAATCCATTCTGGACCGATGGAACAGGGTAAAGGCTGTCAAGCGACGGTGGGAAAATCGGTGGAAAAGTGTGTGGCTCAAGAAGCCCCGCCGAGGGTGTGAGAACGGGCCCCTTCTTCGGTTCCCCAGAAACGCAGGCCGACCACAAGGTGATCTTTTGCTGAAATTCGCCGCCTGGGAATTAACGCCAGGAAAAGGGCAGCCTGTCTGTCGCAGAGAGGAAAGAAAAGATCCAAGGAGACGACGAGATGGGCTGGCAAAAAAAAAGACTGGGGGAACCCGAACGGAAAGGCGGTAGGCTAGCCTGACCGAATATATATCCACGGCAGTTGTTCCTTCACCATCTTGCCAGAGGAACGAAGCAGAAATATCCTAGGTGACTCTGCTTCACTTTACGCCAGTGCATCTTCCAACGTCTCCCAAAATGAACATCGAAACAAATTAGACTACTTTTGCCAGAATTTAGAATATAAATCACTAGCATTAATGGGTGGCGAGGGCCAGAACTACACGCACAGGACCATCTTTTTAGTCACCAAGTCAGGGCATGCACAACTATAATAACCAAGCAAGAAGACGGCTTCCTTGAACTACTTCTACTTCAGAAGAGTGGCCTTGGGGCTATAGCTAAGGGATTTGGTGTTTTTAGTCTCACTTCCTCGACTCTGATTGGTGTGCTCGGTTTCTGACATCACCTGAGGGGCCTTGCAACTATGGAAAGCTGAGGTGGCTACTGCTTGTTTCACTAAGAATGGAGGCCATTATTTGTAGTTAGTATGAAGCCTTCAAGCAGAATTTTACTGGTGTGCTCGGTTTCTGATATCATCAGAGGGGCCCAGGGATTGCGAATTTCCATTTCTGGACAGCCTACGCAGGAGAGATACTACCTAGTGCATGTTTCAATGGAGGTCATTGGGTATTTGTAGTTAATTTGAAAGATTTATAAGATCTCACTCCTCTATTATTTAACATGTATCCTCCCACTGGAATCATGTCCAAGAAGTAAACCCATCCATCCATCCAGCAACAGTGAGCAGAACAACCCTCGATCCTTATTTACGAAGGAAGCTTTTAGCGCCACAATACACTCCTACTGATACAGAACCACCATCCAGACACCAGAGAAAGGGAGGAAATATGGGCACCGCAGCCCAATATTCCCTCTACGTCTTCTGCATCATCCTCGGCTGCGTAATCTCCGTCCTCATCGCCTACGCAATCTGGATAGCAGCCCACGGCATCGAAGATACCGAGCCCCGGGATTTCTCCCAGGAACAGAAAGAATATATGCGCAAAGTACGGCTAAGGAATATAAATACACTGGCTTTCAATGTGGGGAGACCTGATTTGTGTACACCGGTGGAATAAGTAGATAGGGGTGGGATCTAGTTATGTCTCAAATGAGAAACGGGTGGATCGGATAAAATATGCAGAACTCATCATGGAGACAATTACAATAGTGCTATATCTTGTGCATGTTTGAATTATGTATTGGATTATCATCATCATCGCCATCATCAGAAGAAGGCTATGCCCAGACCATCTTCTTGATATCATATACCAGATGCTCCAAGATCCCCGTGCGTTTCTTCGCATCCGCCAGCGAGATGAGATCCAGCTGCTCCACCACAGACGAAGACTCAGCATGGTGACCCTCACCTGCAAACATAGCGCGCTCAATATCCTGGCAAATGGAACGTACGCGATCGGGCTCCCGGACATTCCCCGCGGACGTAACGGAGCCGAGACCGGGACTCGTCACCAAGTTGGACATCGGGAGGCTCTTGAAGGCCAGAAAGCGTGTCGTGGCGCGCTTGGTGCCACGAAGCCACGAGACAAGATCCCATTCGCTTTTGTTGGAGGAAGCGTCCACCGTGGCGGGACGGACACTGCTCTGCAAGGAGCGGGTGTTGACTCTCAGCAGGTTCTCGTCGCCGTCGCGGTACACGATTACCAAACCGACATTGCTGTTCTCGTCTGCTTGACTGTCTGTTAGGATGGAGGTGATGTATGTGCCGTAGTGGATGCGGGAGATGGAGCGCAGATCGATCCGTTCGAAGGAAAGCACTTTGTCGGTTTCCCAGTCGAAGCGACAGCTGTAGACTGCTGCGTCGGTGAGGAGGAGCACCGATTCTTCGAAGGGGAGGGTCCGAAGCGTGTTCGGCTGGCGAGGGGTTAGCATCGTCCACCCTCCCAGGAACTCTTCGGATGGGTCGCTGATCACAATATTACAGCTGGTGTCGATGGCGTTTTGGCGGAGTTTCTGCACGGAGATGCCGGGATCGGTGGTTTGTAGCTCCATGGCGAATTCGTCGAAGACACGCGTCGAGACATTGCCCAGCAGGTAGTCGATGCAGGCTTGTGAGAAATAGTCGTTGACAATGTTGTTGTAGTATCGGGACAGTGTCAGCCCTAGATCGTTGAGGGCGCCACGATAGTTTCGTTTCCGGGTGCGAGTGTAGTCCCCCTTCAGCGCCGCGGTCGATGAGTACTGCTTGGAAATGGCGTCCCCGTTATCCGCCCAGAGGGTATTGAACCACTGCGTGGACGAATCCCCTCCCAGATCAATCTGCATGCCGTCGTTCTGTAACTGGCGTTCGAGAGCCCACTGTCCAAAAGCGCATTGCGCAACTCCCGTCCGATCGAGACAATCCATACAGTTAGTCCGCATGATTCCCGTTTGCGATTGAAGTGGCGTATTATCTCTGACGGTGGCGTAGCCAAATTCAGCCAACGTATCCCCCAAACGATCCACCAACCGTTTCACGTTTTCGAACTTCATCCCTCGACACTCGTTGTGGAAGTCAAACCACTCCAAACGCAGGGGAGAGCCGTCGATTCCGCCAGCTTTGTTGAAAGTGTCTGTGTATCTTTCATATTGTTCGCCAAGTTTCAGTTCACCAGCTTGTTTGTCTATGAGAGAAACCGCTTGGATCTTCCCATATCGCCGACTGAGCTCTCGGAAGTGCCTCCCAAACGCAAGCTGATTGGTATCGGCCGAGTGATGCATTACCGGTATTGGCTTCAATGAGTATGGAGACTGGGAGAAGTACAATGGGATCGACCCGCGGATTTGTAAGTAGGAGTACACCTGACGTGAAGGGTCCCAGTCAGACACTGAAAGGATTTGCTCTGTCTCCACTGTGTTGGCCGTATTGCCTTCGTCATCCACGCCACGGCGTAGATACCGCAGTCCGGGCCGCTTGACAGATCGTCGAGAGATGAGAGTAAGAAGGTAATCCTGCTTGCGAGCATCTGGTTTGACAGGTTCCCCTTCGGGCTTCTCACCCAAAACCAGCGCTTCAGTGGGTGACTCCTCGGTTGAGGTTTCTTTCGGATCGGAGCTGGCGACTGTGAACTCACGCTGGCCAACAAATCCTTGAATCAACGGCAAGATAAATCCGTGAGCGCCATTATCAATAAATGCGGACATTAAATGTCTGTTCCAGAAGTACTGTAAAACAGTTAGTAAACGACTCTTCTGACGCAAAGATCTCCAAACATACCAATGGATCCACAACCTTGTGAAGCGGCGGATGTCCATTCCGCGCTTCCTGAGCGCCAAACGACCTCGTGATATCATAGTCATATGCGAAAAAGAAGTTATGAGATGCAAAAATGAGCTTCGTATACCGCAGCAACTTCGGCAACAGATCCGACTTCTGTTTACGCTGTTGGGGGGATTGGTCTTTATTCTCAACCGGGGGCGGATTAGCCTCTTCAGGCACAGACGCCTCCGTTGCTTCTTCATCCTTGGCAGACTGTTCCGAAGGGCTGGGAACATCGCCAAACGGCGACTCGGGAATCTCTTCTTTCAGCGCTGCAGGCCTGGTGGGCAGGCCCAAGTTCTTGCGAGACAACCAGTTCGTAGCGAAGCCACCAAACCGGACCTTTTTCCCGATCACATCTTCGGCAATACTGTTCACGCTGGCTCCCCGCGTGTGGTGGAATGTCTCGCGGTTGGGAGATGCCGGGGCGCTGTTGATTTCGGTGGCGGCCTCGTTGGTCTCGTTGACGTCGGCGATATCCTCCTCCTCGGAGGCGGACTCGTCGAGCCCGCCGTCATCTTGCGCGACATCCTTGCGCGCCTGGGAGATCGCGCGGGTTGCGTCGGCTTGCGACGAGACGGGGATTATAGCGACGTTCGTTACGGCGTAGATGGGCTGGCCTTGGATTTGCGCGACCTGCTGGCGCTGGGTGATGGAAATGAGGAACGAGTAAGACGCGACCGATAAGAGGCCTGGATGGAAAACAACGGTTAGAATGTACCCGCAGCCCAGTATGCTATTCCTCTGCTACTCACCTACCAGCCCGTAGGCCTCTAGCCCACTATCCCTCCCCCCGAGCAGCTCCGGAGCGGACGCCGGTAGCGCGGTGATCCGGTTCGTTTTGTAGTCAATACGAATGGATGAGGCCTCATTGTTGCTTGCGCTATTAGAGCGTGATCCATTGGCGCCTTGTGCACAGAGGACCAGCCCGTCGACGGCGGCGACAATAACCAGTTTCCGCAGCAAAGCCGGCATTATTCTCGCAGGTTGCCCGCGGGTGTGTCGTACTCAAAGAGGCCGGAGAGTAAGTATTCGTGCGGGTAGCAGAGAGTCGTAGTGCAACGCCGACTTGTGCGAGTAGTGGAACCAACAACAACACTTCTCTCGTATTGACAGGCAACATGGCAACTGCTCGGAAGCAAGATTTCCACCACAGCCGATGTGACTACATCATCGGATGGCGGTGGCCTGACCCCACCAGGTGATGTTCCGCGCCAATAAGCGATCTATTGAATGTCGACAGATGGGAATGAATATATACAGCCATGAATTCTCTCGCCAATGCGCAGATCACCAAAAAAAGGACCAAAAAATAGCAGAAAGGAAAAAAAGAACTAAAAGCCCGTCCAGCCAGCCAGAGACCAAAAGTAATACCCAGAGTCATATCCAAAATTCGTTTGTATGGGCATATCCCGTGCCTGATAGGAGAGCGCCCGAGTCCCAAATCCACTCTGGTATTTT